AGTGCGACGGGGTGCCCATCTCGCTGCCCAGCCTGCAGGGCATCGCTGTCCTCAACATCCCCAGCTATGCCGGGGGCATCAACTTCTGGGGAGGCACCAAGGAGGACAATGTGAGTGCCAGCACCGTGGGGTTAGGGGGGGGGGGCATGACATTCTTCTCATGGTCCCAAGGAACCTGAGAGCCCTCAGGCAGGTGTCTGGTGTGTCCCTGCCTTGGGCACACATGGGGGAAAAAGCTGGGTCCCAAGACGAGTGTGCTTTGGGGAGTCTCACCTGTACTGGTCCCCTGCAGAACTTTGGGGCTCCATCTTTTGATGACAAGAAGCTGGAGGTGGTGGCCGTCTTTGGCAGCATCCAGATGGCCGTGTCACGGGTCATCAACCTCCAGCACCATCGCATTGCGCAGGTAGGGGCAAGGGACCCTGCGTAATGCTGGAAATCTTTTGGGGCACCAGACCAGCGGAGCCTGGGGCGATGCAGCTCAGCTGAGCTCCTGGCTAGCACTGGCATGGCACTAGGAGGCTTTTCAGCTGACCGCAGGCTGTCTGCCCCACAGTGCCGCGTGGTGAAGATCACCATCCGGGGGGACGAGGGCGTCCCCGTGCAGGTGGATGGAGAAGCCTGGATCCAGCCACCTGGCAGATCCAGCACAAGAACCGAGCCCAGATGCTGACGAGGGACCGGGTGAGCTCAGGGTTGCACAGCCTGTGCAGCAGGGCTGTGCTGGGCCATGGGGTGTGAGAGGCTGAGGCGAGGCGGGGCGGGGGGGGCATGTCCATCCCCTGCAGGCATTTGAAAGCACCCTCAAGTCCTGGGAGGACAAGCAGAAGGGGGAGAGCTACCGAGCGGCTGCCCGGCCACGGCTCAGCTCCCAGCAGTCCATGGAGTACCTGACCGAGGAGGAGAGCAGCCTCTTGCAGCAGGTCTCGCGAGTTGCTGAGACCCTCATCGCCAGGTCAGGCTGTGGGATGGGGAATGTGATGGGCATGGGGTGGGGGAACTTCGCTGTGACCACCCAGAGCTACAGGGTTCTCCTAGCCCCGTGCTGCCCATCCAGCCTCGGGTAGCGCTGGCACCTCCAGCCCCTCTTGCCCGCAGGATCCATGAGGCAGCCAAGGCTCACAAAGCTGTGGAGCAGGAGCTGGCACACGCTGTCAACAGCAGCTCCCTGGCGCTGAGCGAAGCCCTCTCCAACAAAGCCACTGGCACCTCAGAGGTGAGCTAGGCCTGGCGGTGCAAGGCAAGCTTCATCTGGCCACCCCAGGGCTCTGCTGCTCAAGGGGGTCACCCCTCCATGCCCCCC